TAATAAAACAAATAAAACAAAAATTCAACTCCTCAAACAGTAACTCATATAAATACAAATTAAACTATTTCATAGTTCTTTAACAATTTTGCTTTGATCATTTTTTAAAGGAACTAACTGATCCAATGTTTTTATAATCATTTTCCAGATTATTATAGTCTTATACCTTTTACAGAAATACATCTGTCCTTCAAATGTGTTCAAATGTTTGGTTTAACAAACATTTGAAATCCTTCAAATTATAACAGCTTTCACTTTTAACAAACTGTGACTGCATGTTAGACGGTAACACATTTTTATTAACTTTATATATAACCTGCAGAATGTTATAATCAACCAACTCATGAAATTTTAACTCTTTTAATTGATGAAACAATATGTTAGAAGGGTGATAGTAATGCTTTCTTCTAATAACTTTATAACTCTTTTTTGTAAAATAAAAAAAGGATTAGTAACTGTTTTACATGCATTACCTCAGACTTCTGTACAATAAATCAAATGTGGAACAATTATTGCGTTATACAGTGTAAATAGTGTTTTATCATTAAATAACTCCTTCACTGTAAACAGAGCTGCGATAGATTTGACCATTCTTGTTCTTCAGTAGTTTCTATGAGGTCATCATGTCAGGGTTTCATCAGTGACACCAGAACCTTCAGATCTCAACACCTTCTGCTCTGTTGCTTCACTTATTTAAACTAAAATCTTTGTTTGCTTTGTTTCTTGTGTCCTTTCTGTTGCTCAGCTGAGGAACCAGAGACGCAGGACTCAGAGCCCATGTCCAGAACCCCTTGGTACAACAAGATCATCACTCCAGGTTCTGAACCCAGAAGTCGGGTCAGCAGGTTTAGAAGCTGCAGGTTCCAGAACATTTCTGCTGCATGTCTCTGTTGCAGAGCACGTGTTCGCTCTCGATGCCTCCGACGACTTCCTGACTCGTCGAGTTCAAGCTCTTCCAGAGAGCGTGGCAGAGAAGACACACCTCACTCAGGACCGGTTCCTTCCTCGTCTGCAGACGTTCAGACGACTGAACCGGGCCGAGGACACGCTGCTGGACTTCTTCCACCAGCGTGAGATTCACCCACAACATATAGGTACTGCCTGAGCTCTTCTCTCTGCTTCTTTCTGACTGTGTGAATATATCAGCTGCTGATCAACACGAGAAAACACAAAAACAACTCTCAGTTAGTCACGTGGAGTTCCTCAGGGCGCAGTCATGGGCTCTCTTGTTTTTTTATTCCCACTTCCACTTGGTTCCATGTTTAGGAAGCACTGTGCATCACACAGACACACAGACTGATCTACCTGACTGATCCTTCAGATCTGCTGATCAGCTCCTCCTGCATGGACCAGAACCTCAGGCTCAGAGGAGACCGGGCTTTTGGGTCCTAAGTTACAGAACAGCTTCTTTAAATCTTCACTTCAAACCACTTTGATTCTTTGGTGTTTGCTACATCTTAGGATGTTGATTTTTACCTTTTACATCATTTTTTCTTTGCTTTTATCTCTTCTTATTAAGTGTTTTCATTGATTGTGCAGAACTTTGTTCACTTGGATGAGTTTTAAAAGGCTGTATGAATAAATAAATATAAATAAAATGGATTAGATCATCGTCAACACTGACTCAAAGCTTTAGATTTGGTAAAAAGGTGCAGATGTTTGAGTTCTGTCATTTACCTGTGAGGAGAAACTCCGCCCACAGCTTCCTGTCTGTTTACCTGTGAGGAGACGCTCCGCCCACAGCTTCGTGTCTGTTTACCTGTGAGGAGAAGCTCCGCCCACAGCTTCCTGTCTGTTTAACCATCCTAAATGATAAAAGTCCTCACTTTAATCTTAACGTCGTCTCCTCAGATGTTTCCACAGATGATCCAGAGTGCACACATGTTCTGAAGAAGATAAAGGAGATCGTGGGGGTTCCTAAGAACTACGGAGCGAGTCCAGAGGAGCAGGAGGAGGAGGAGCAGAGGAGAGCAGAGGAGAGGAGGCAGAGCCTGGCTGCAGAGGCCGTCCAGAGGAAACACAGCAGAGCAGCAGCTCTGGTGGAGCTGGCAGCTCAGCACGAGGACTGGGTGAGCACACCTTACAGGAGGTCATGGTCTGACAATAACAAGAGTCAAAGTGCAGCTGAGCTGTTTCTGCAGCACAGGAACCTGCTGGAGGTGAGGCGACAGCAGGGAGAGCTGCTGGGAGCTCAGGCTCTTCCTCTGAGGAACTACCTGATGAAGCACGTGATGCCTTCACTGACCCAGGCCATGTCCGAGTGCTGCCGGGTCAAACCCCACGACCCCGTGGACTTCCTGGTATTTAAACTGTGAGCTCTGAAACATGACTCATCACGATCAGCTGCTTCCTTTTATTGGCTTTTCTTTGCTTTTTACAGGCTGAACATCTTTTACACAACAATGAAGATCAACACTAGGTGGCGCCGACGTCTCATTTAAATTATTGTTCCATATTTTCATTAAAACTTTTAGTAAATGATTTTTTATGACATTTAAATGTTTGTGAGTTGAACTAGTGAGACTTTAGACAAGTTCTGATAAAGTTGTAAACGTTATAAAGTAAAATGTGTTTCCTGTGAACCGTCTGCTGGAAGAAAACTTTTATCAGGTTTTTACTGCCGTTAATTCTCAGAGTAGATCCTGAACATCAGCTTTTACTCACCGGACCTCTGCTGGGCTGCAGGCAGTGATCTATAAAGTACCACAAAGTCATACTTGAGTAAAAGTACAAGTATCTTATCATAAAAATACTTTGGTAAAAGTTAAAGTCTTCTCTAAAAATATTACTTGAGTAAAAGTACAAGTATCTTATCATAAAAATACTTTGGTAAAAGTTAAAGTCTTCTCTAAAAATATTACTTGAGTAAAAGTTTTAAAGTATCTGATACTTTTTGTACTTAAGTATCAAAAGTAAATTTCTGACCCAAAATCTACTTAAGTATTAAAAGTAAAAGTACTGAGTAAAAGTGAGCAGTTAGATTTTACAAAATGACATTTATTGGGAGGTGACTTCTCCAAAAACTATATTTTCTAACAGCGTGCAGCTGTGATGGGTTGTGTACAAGCTAATAGTGTGTCAGTGTGATAATTGTGTA